ATATATATTTCAGCTGATTGCATTTTTTTCTTTCCTTACCTTCTCCATCCTAGTGTTTAACTTTAAAATTTAGTTCTTAAACATCTTGTGGTTCTCAAAAAAATGATGGGGAACCTTCATCTACTGCTGTGGGAATATAAAATGGTACAACTGCTGTGGAAGAGTTTGGTTGTTCCTCAAAGAGTTAAAGCAGAATTACCATATGGCCTAGCAATTCCACTCCTAGGACTCAAACAGGGACTTGTACACCGGGTTCACTGCAACACTCACCAGAGTCAAAAGGTGGAAACAACCCAAATGTCCATAAACAGATCAACAAAATGCAGTACATACATACAGTGACATATTACTCAGTCATAAAGAGAAATGAAGTCCTGATACATAAAACATGAATCGTGAAACATGTTACTTGCCAAAGGACAAAATACTGTATGATCTCACTTCTCAGTGTTACCAGGGGTGAGAGGAAAGGGAAAGGGAAAGGGAGAAGTTTTAACAGACACTGAATTTATGCTAATGGTGGTGAAATAATTTGGAAACGGTGAGAATGGTTGTATAACCTGAAGACTGTAATCAAAATCATATGTAAAAATTGTATCAGTAAATGTTTTGTTGTATACAAGGGGGATTTCAAAAAGTTCATGGATCAATGAAATGAAAAAAGAGAACTTTTCCTCTCCTTCCCTCCCACCACTCCTGGTAACCATCATACTTAACTGTTTTTGTTTTCCCTTCTTTTCTTCTGTTTCTCATTTCCCCTCATCTTTTTCCGTTTTATTTTTCTTTACTACTCTTTCTCTTTTCATCATCCCTCTCCCTAGTGTTTCTGATTTTTTCCCCTTCCTTTTCTCTTCATTGTTGGTAAGTGCCATTGAGTCAGTTCTGACTCATAGCGACCCTGAATAGGATTTCTGAGAAACAGCTGGTAGGTTTGAACTCCCAACATATGCCGGTGAGAGATTTGGATCCTACTACAGTGCTGGTGGAACTGTAAGTGCTGCAACCACTGTGGAAAACAGTATGGTGCTTTCTCAAAAAGTTGAAAATAAAAATACTGTTATGACCCAGCAATCCGTCTACTTGGCATATACCCTGAAGAAACATGAACCATGACACAGATATACATTCATTGTAACACTAGTGACAATAGTAAAAAGATGGAAACACCCTAAATGCCCATCAACTGAAGATAGGTTAAACAAACTTTGGTACATATACACAATGGAATACTATGCAACACTGAATAATTGTTGTTGTTGTTAAGTGCCATTGAGTCGGTTCTGACCCATAGCAAACCTGTGTAGGGTTTCTGAGGAACAACTGGTAAGCTTGAACCACTGACCTTCTGGTTCAAACAACTTTGTAGTCTGGCGCATTCATCCACAGTGCCACACCAGGACACCTTGCAACATGGATGAACCGAGAGGACATTATGCTGACTAAAATTAGTCAATCACAAAAGGACAAGTATTATGAGACTACGGTTATAAAGAAAAATTTAAGAAAAAGGAACGTTCGATGATGGTCATGGGAGTCTTGGTGTGGCACTGTAGGATGAGTACTGGACTGCTAACCACAAGGTTGGTGGTTCAAACCCACCAGCCACTTTGGGAACCCTATACAGGGTTGTTACAAGTCAGAACTGACTCGACAACATTTAGCAACAACAAGGTTAGTTTGAACCGCAAGGTCGGTGGTTCGGATTCACCAGCCACTCCTCAGAAACCCTATACAAGGTCACTATGAGTCCGGACCAATGCCACAGCACTTAACAAGAGACATGGAGGGGATTGCAATCATTGTAAGGAAGCAAAGTACATGATGTGTTGAATGTAAAATTGATTATATGCTCTGCAAAACTTCACTCAATTCACAGTAAAAAGTTAACAGAAACAAAACAAAACTGATTTATAAGAGACTGAGACATGACAACTAATGATGCAGTGTGTGCTCCTGGATTGGATCCTGGCCCACTAAAAGGACATTAGGAGGACAAATGACAAAATTTAGTATTTTATGGTTTGCAACTAAGAAACTGGGTAGCACAATGTTGAGCTCAAGCAGAGTTCTTTGCATTAAGCACTACTATATGGTTTCTAAGGAGCCGTGTTGGATAAAATTTTGGGCTGCTAACTGCAAGCAGCAATCAAGAAATCAAACGTATTGCATTAGGCAAATCTGCTGCACAAGACCTTTTTAAAGTGTTGAAAGGCAAAGATGTCAGCTTGAAGGACTAAGGTGTGCCTGACCCAAGTCATGAGATTTTCAGTAACCTCATATGCATATGAAAGCTGATCAGTGAATAAGGAAGACTGCAGAATTGCTGCTTTTGAGTTACTGTGTTGGAGGAGAATATTCAAAGTGCCATGGGCTGCCAAAAGAACAAACAGATCCGTGATGGAAGAAGTGCAGCCGGAGTGCTCCTTGGAAACCAGGATAGCCAAACTTCGTCTCTCATACTTCGGACATATTGTCAGGAAGGAACAGTCCCTGGAGAAGGATATCATGTTTGGTAAGGTGGAGGGTCAGAGAAAAAGAGGAAGACCCCCAATGAGATGGATTGGCCAAGTGGCAGCATCCATGGGCTCAAGCGTGGTAACACTTGTGAGGTTGGCCCAGGGTAGTGTTTCTTTTCTGTAGTGCATGGGGTCGCTATGAGTTGGTCCTGACTCGATGGCACCTAACAGCATTTGCAAGGAGTCTGGTATGCTGATGTAGCATGAGCACTGAACTGGTAACCACAAGGTCAGCAGTTTAAACCCACCAGCTGTCCTCAGAAACCCTATATACAGGGTTGCTATGAGTTCAAGCCCACCAGCCACTTCATGGGCAAAAGCTAAGGCTGCTCTGATAAAGATTTGCTGTCTCAGAAACCCTAAGGAGTCCAACTCTGTCCTTCCTATAAGGTTGCTACAAACCAGAATTAACTTGATTGACAGTGGGTTTTATTATAGTTTCTACTTATTAAGCATTCACAAACCTTAGACCGTGTTATCCCACTGAATGCTAAATTTTCACAAACCTGCGATATTACCACCCCCATTAGAGATTAAAACTGATTCAGAGAGATTAAGGGATTTTCCCAAGATAGTTAAACTAGTAAGTGGTGAAGTAGTGAACTCAATTTATCTTTATGACTCAATACATTTTAATCACAATGCTTCTCAGACAATTCTTTTTCTAAGAAACTATTGCCTTGATTCAGTCATTTTGACATGAAAATGCTAGAAAGAAACTTTACTTAAGTCCAGGGTTAGAAGGTTGGATGCCACTGCATGGCCATCGACCCCAATTCGTACTGCCTCAGAAATTGTTGGTCTGATCTTCCATTAAAATGTTTATAGCTTTCATATGATTTGGTGCCAATGAAAAAGGATTTAGAATATCATTCCTTCAAAAAAGGTATGAAGAAAATAAAAATTCTCTATTATTCCTAATAGAAGTCAATGACATGCAATACCTGCCATATGTGGAATCTGGTATTTTATAATCATAGAATATTCTACCAACTAGATGTAGTGACTGGGTTTTCTCTTTCAATGTCAGTGGGATCTGGCTTTCCTGCTTCTCACACACATCTCAACACTGTGATTTATGTTCCTGAACAAATTAGACTTAATTTAAGAGCAAATCATCAGCAACAGGTATAATAATCTTGGCAGAACATTTATTTTAATTAATTGCTTTCTGTCTAACATAGATAGGATGCTGATGCCATTTACCCTATAAGGATTAGTGCTGTCATGTAATTAATGTTTTTTCTTCCCTTAGTCTCATCAGTTTTAAATTACAAAGGCATTGGTTTACTTCATATTTAATCATAACAATCTAACCTCTATGGCAATGTTTACATATACAATATGAAAAAAATGGACTTTAACCACTCTGTAGCATTCTAGATTTCCGTTCACCAAACATAAGCTCTCTTAGGTCCAGGGGGGTTACAGTGGGAACTGTTTGTGGGCTTCCTGTTAACTGCTATTGAGTCAGTGCCGACTCATAGTGACCCTACATAGGGTTTCCAAGGAGCAGCTTGTGGGTTTGAATTGCCAATCTTGCAATTAACAGCCCAGTGCTTATCCTACAGGGCCACACCATTTTGGGGCTTGCTCTTTGTTTTTGTGAAGTGCCTTCGAGTCAGTTCTGACCCACAGTGACCCTGTATAGGGTTTCCGAGGAGTAGCTGGTGAGCTTGAACCGCCGACCTTGCAGTTCAAATGACTTTGCAGTCTGGCGCATTAACCCACAGCGCCTCACCAGGACTCCACCATTTTGGTGCTTAGGCAGCTGGAAAATCCTCACCTCCAAAAACTTGGCATGTGGGTGAAGAGGGTGGCGAAAAGATATTTGAGTGATTTTATACCATTGTTTTTCTTCCATGTGAAACTGAGTGTCAACCTCACTATATGAGGGTTTAGGGTGGGGAGGTTTCAAAAAGTTCATGGGAAAAAACGGAATGAAAAGATTATGGATTTTTCCCATAGACTTTTTGAAGCCCCCTAGTACTTTAACAAGACAAAAAGAAAACAAGAATTTCTTCCATTCTATGAAGGCTTAACGCTATCAAAGTATCTTGCAGTTAGTAGAAAACATAGACTCCATCTTCTCAAACTTGCCTAGCTCGATGTTATTCAGAGAAATAACTGGATGGTCTTTCCAAACACGAGTCAGAAACAGCTAGCACTAAACCCAAGCATGGTTCCCAGGGGCAGGAATTCTCATACAAAACTTGTGTTATATAATCATTATAACCTTAGGTTTTTTACCCTAGTCCTTCATATTCTAACCAAGTAGTTGTTTGTCTTTAAGAATGCTATAAGAAAATTTAAGCCTTTGCTACTAAAGTCAAGTGAGGTTATCATACATTCTGAGATTCCTGTATCAGTACTGAATCTCAGGAAGCAATAAGAATAAACAAATGTACAACAAAAGCAAAACATCCTTTGTATAATCAAATGGTTTTCACATTATAAAATTGATTACTATAGAAAGGACACAAATTTGGAATCATTATTAACTTTATTTCTCACTCTTTATAGACATTGGTCCATTTCCACATGAAAAGTATCTGAAACTTCCACTTAATATTCTATAGAATGAAGTTGTACCACAAACAGAGGGAAAAGTTACTGAAATAAAAATATTTTATATCCATGCCCCAAAGAATCCCCCGCTAAGATGTTTTTGTGTATATAATTACAAGCATCTATACCTCTACAAAGCTAGTTTCTTCTTAGATCAATGTAGTATTTTTATTATTCACACCAGATCATACGGATCACCAAACTTTCAAATGGTTAAAAAATAGCTTTCCCCTGTCAATCAGAATAGTTCCAAATTAAGCAATTATATAAGCACATCCATATTTTAGGGCTCTCTAGATTAAAAACCTCTTCTCTTATTTCAGATAGTTACATCAAATTGAGACATTTACAAATGGTTCATTGTATACACTGGCCCAAACATGATTTTCACCTATCTCCCCGAAATTGAGCATCCTTAAGGTTTTCTAATAAAATTCAATGCAGTTTTCAACATAAATAATATAAACTAATCTAAATGTTTTACATTTATTTCAGTGCAAATTTCCAAATATTAAATGGAATGAAATTATAATTATTTAATGGTTGTATCATATTTGAGCAGATTATGGAATCTGTATCATACAATTTGATTCACATCAATACTATAATTCACTCTAAAAAAAGTCACAGGCACACACAAAGTAGAGAACAAAATTTCCTTTTTTATAAATTTAAAGTATACTATCTACTTTAAATCTCTGAAAGATTTATTTTAGCAAAATGGCAAATTTCCAAACCCCTTTTCTCTGTCGGGTACAAGGAAAGTTCAATCCATTCGAATCTTCTGGTTTGTCATCCTATAAATGATGCTATCATATCCAGGATCCATGTTCCAAATATTGTAGGAGGTGATTATCACAGCCAAGGCCAAAGCGATCATTATCCAAAGTACCATATTGAAAACTACTGAGTACTCAAAATTATACTTATAGGCAAGGTTATAGGGACTTGGCGGGCTCTTCTATAATTAAGAAAAGAAAAAAAAAAAGAATTTTAAGATTGCAAATTATTCCAATTTGGTAGCTATGATTCATTTATCTAACAAACACTTATTCATAAGTGGCATAAGAATTATTTATATGAGGAGGAATCAAGAAGGGGAGTTTTCATGAAGACATTTGCACAGATGATGAAAGTATAAAATGGTCCAATGGCTTGAGAAAATGTGTTAATACCTAATAAAGTTGAGGGTGTATATATCTAGTGAGTCAGCAAGTCCTCCACACCCTGGGGAAAACTTCTGTATGTGTATCAAAAGACATGTACAAGAATGTCTATCAACAAACAGAACAGATGATCTGTGGTATGCCCATAGCATAGAAGCTAGAGCAATACAGGATGGTCCTAGAGCTAAGTTCATCAGCATGTGGGAGTCTTAAAAATACTGAGCAAAGGACACAGAAAATACAGAGTATGATTCCATTTATATGCAATTCAAAGGCAAGCAAAACTAAACATTGTTTAGGGATAAGTACAGATATAGTAAAACTGTAAAAGAAAAGCAAGGAAATGACTAACAGAATATTCCAGACAGCAATGACCTCTCAATGGGAAAGGTACAGGGATAAGATGGGGGTGCTTCAAAGCAGCAATGTTATCTTTTTTAAGCCAAATGATGGGTAGACAATGTTAGTATTGGTTGTGCAACACTTAAATGCTCAGCTGCAAACTGAAAGGTCAGCAGTTTGAATCCACTAGTCAATCTGCAGAAGAAAAGGTCTATCTGTTTTCTTAAAGTTTACAACCTTGAAAACCCTATGAGACAATTCGACCCTTCAGGAGGGTCGCGCTGAGTCAGAATCGACTCAGCACACAACAAAAAAGGTCGTACACTTATGTATGCTGCTGCAGCTGCTGTGTACCACTGAGGCGGTTCTGATTCATAGCAACCCTGTATAGGGTTTGTGGGGCTGTAAATGTTCAGCAGAGCAGAAAGCGTCATCTTTCTCCCATGGAGCAGCTGGTGTATTCAAACTGCTGACTTGTGGTTAACAGCTACATGTGTAACCCACTGCACTACCAGGGCTCGTTACACTCATGGAGGCTTCACTTAAAGTCCAATAAAAAACGTAAAGACGAAAGCAATTAGTGCTTCAAACACATCATACATCTGAGTGATATTGCCTGGCCGGGGGGTGGGGGTTAGGGTGAATCCAGACCTATAAAAGGTATCATTTGAGAAACTCATTTATTCTGGCTAAAGAATAAAAAGGAGTCCTGGTGTGGCACTGTGGGTTAATGCGCCAGACTACAAAGAGTTTTGAACTGCAAGGTCAGTGGTTCAAGTTCACCAGATGCTTTTAGGAAAACCCTATGGAGGGTCGCTATGGGTCGGCACTTCACAACAACAACAAAGAATAAAAAAGAATGGATACATTTAAGTCATGGTATTGCCAAAGAATACTGAATATACCATGGATTGCCAGAAAAATTAACAAATGTGTCCTGCAAGAAGGATGGTGAGACTTTGCCTCATGTACTCTGGACATTATCAGGAGGGACCAGTCTCTGAAGGAGGACAAGCGTAGTAGAGTGACAGAGAAAAAGAAGACGACCCTCAATGAGATTTACTGACACACTGCCTGCAACAATGGGCTCAAAAATGGCTGCAAAGAGGAGTGCATACATTCAGAGTTCACAGAAGGATCAACTGTGAACTCTAACACCCTGATTTCGGACTTCTAGCCTCCAGTACTGTAAGGGAATTCATTTCTGTTACCTTAAGAAAAAAAAGGAGAGAGAGAGAAATGTATACTGGGGGATTACAAATGACTGAAGCCATAAATAATGTTTTTAGCCATGCAATGTTTTAAAACATCTACACTACTGTTCTTTTCCATAACCCCCTGGAAACGCTGATGTTTACTGGTATGTAGCTATGTATGTATATATGTATGTAACACAAACCCCAAGTGTTTTACCATGGCCTATTACCTTGTAAATACTTAAAATCAAAGCAAGATCCATACCAGAAAAGTATAGAAGTAAATCAAATTATAAAGAGGTGAACAAAGAGGGTTCTAGAAAATAAGAGACTGTACCACAATGTACTTCTGATCTGAATTCTCTTATTAGTTTTGAAAGATTTGCTTTTATCCCTAACTCGAATTCTTGCATCACTTGGTCACAAGGTCAAAGAACCTAAGTAATTGATGGCAAAATACTTAGTCTATGTGAATAAGAAACCGATGTTTTCAGATTTCCTGATTGTAGCGTGGTGAATTATTTAATGTCTCTTCTAACCATATTCTCCCACTAAATGGCTTTTTCTGGATGGGCCTTGGTAAGAGAAGGTAGGAGAAAATACTAATAGGATGATATGATTCCGTTGGGAATGATTGTTAAGAGAGTTAATTTGATTGTAAAAGCCTGGAACTCTACTCTGGGTATAAAATGAGTCACCTCAGATGCAGGAACGGGGGATCTCACTCCCACCAAGAAGGAAGAACCAGGAGTGAAATACATCCTTTGGATCCTGAGATCCCTGCATGTTGAACCTTCTTTACCCAGGAGACAGCTGTGACACCAGAGAAGTGGCAGAGAAGCAGCAGCAGGAGTCAAAGCATTAGACAGAGCAGTGGCCTTCCTGGCTCATGGAGCAAGTAAAGGTGAGTGACTTTGGGTAGGAGGCTTGCTTTCCAAGTGGGGTGTCTCCAGGTACTTAATTGGGGGAGGTAGGTTTGCTAACCTATGGAGCTAGAGCCGAGTGCCTTTGAGCTGACGCTTATACCGGAGTGGAGTGTCCTTTGGGCATTTATCAGCAGCCCTAAAAGAGCTTAGTAACATTGCTCACGCAGGGCAGAGGCCAGGCCAAGGGGCTGAGGGTCAGAGAGGCCTGCCTGTAGGTGTGCGAAGGAGAGCCTGTCCCAACTGGAAGAACTGTGCCCTAAGCAAATTTTGGATCCGGAATTTTAGCCTGTTGACTTCCTTAATAAACCCCGTAACTTGAGTATGGTGCCTGAGTTCTGTGTGACCACTGCAGTGATTATTGAACCCAGCTGAGTAGAGAGAGTTACAGAAGGGATAATTGGTGTCATTTAAAAAAATGTTTTCTACTTGATTGTCATCCAGGGGTGATAGAGGATTTCGTTTTGTTGTTTTTTAAGTTAATCTTACGATTTTAAAGCAGGATCTTAAAATATACTCACCATCTGTTTTGCCTCAAGGATAGTCCTTGTCTTTCTCACAAGGGATGTATCAAATGATTTAATGGTCACCAACTCTACCACTGCATTTCCGCCATAAAGACTGTACATGTCATCTGCAAACTGGGAATTCATTAACATTATTATGAATTTCAAATTCATACTGATTGCTTTGGTATAGCTACAAGTTTTAAGGTAAATATTATTCATAAAAGTGTTAAGTTTCAATATATATTCAGATGTTCAAAACAGAATTACTTTAAGAAGAAACTGGATTTGGGGCACATACATTGATTAATTGTAAAGATTTGCAAAATTATGGTGCCACACTGAAGAGGTTTTGGTGAATAAAGGCGGAGAAAAAACTAGCATTTTATTGTGCGTCTACTCAGTGTCTGGCACTGTGCTAGGTAATCTCCTTAGATTAGCTCATTTAGTTCTTAAAGAACTCAATGAAATTGAATTGGAAAATGACTCAGCAAATGGGCTTGCTAATGGGAATGTACATTAAAACCACTTTTCCAGAGAACAATTTGACATTACATGGTAAAATACTTTCAAGAAGACTCTTTACTAAGGTTCAGGAGCAATGACTAGGACAAGACCACAGAGCCTTAACCTTGAACAAACCTCTTTTTTTGTCCATCCCTCTTAAGAGGTAGGAGGGGTTGAAGGCTCTTGGCACACTTTAGTTCTCAGCCGTCTGAAATGACTGAAGAAACCTCATCAGTAGAGAGCTAAAGTTAGCACGTAAAATGACTGCTGAAAAGCCTTCCTAACAAGGCTGAACTCTTGGGGTAAACCGGTGTCTCACTACCTTCTAAAAAGACCAAATTCATTGACTACAAGTTGGCAAAGGGAGAGAGAGGGAGTCTGTTTATCCTGATCATTACAATACTAAACAACTAACCATGCATGTCACAGTTCTGATTCCTATGACTGGTCCCACCAGCACTGAAATCACATGCAGCAACCCTATGCATGTGCTGATGACCACTGAGGCGCTCTACTCTACCCCCTCACCAGCAGGAACCTTCTGCTCAGTAACAGTGAATGCCACAAATGAATAAAGGCATAAAAACATTGTTATGAAGTCAAAAGTTAAAGACTCAAAGAAACAAAATTAATGAGGAATTAGCCGTCTTAAAAAAAAAAAATCCAGGGCTTAAAAATCACAAGTCTCTTTTTAACAAGTAAAAACATGTTCATATTAAAAACTTGTACACAAATGTTTCTAGTATTAATAACCAAAAAGGAAAAATCACCCAAATATCCATCTGACGAATGGACAAACTGTGATACATACAAGGGGGCTTGGAAAAAGTTCCTGGAAAATGGAATTGAAAGATACTAGAATGTTTTCACAAACTTTTTGAAGCCCCTGCATACATAAAATGGAATAGGTACTCAGTCATAAAAAACAGAGAAAGGTACTGCCAAATGCTACCACATGGATGAACCTTGAAAACATGCTAAATAAAAGAAGGCAGACATACAAGGCCACATATTACATGATACCACTTAAATGAAATGTCAAGAACAGGCACAGCCATGGAGCCAAAAAACAGCTTAGTGGCTGTCAGGGGTTGGGTGTGTTTGTAGGGATGTGGGTGGAACAAGGAAACAACACTAATGGGTGCAGAATTTTTTTGGCGTGGTAAAAACGTTCTCAAATTTGATTGTGGTGATGGCTGTACAACTCTGTCAATAAACGAGTCACCACACTGAATTGTACACTTTAAATGAGTGAATTAGGAAGGTGCTCTCATAGGCAATGGTAAATCAATGTGTATGACCTTTCTGGAACACCAAAAGCCTTTTAAGTGTTTCACATCCTCTAACTCAATAATGCTCTTATAAAAGTCTACCCTAAATAAACATTCAATGCTGATGACAATGATTTATATTGGGCTGCACCGCAAGGTCAGTTTAAACCGTGAGGTTGGCGGTTCAGGCTCACCAACTGCTCCTAGAAAACCCTATACATATACAGGGTCACTATGGGTCGGAACCCACTTGATGGCACTTAACCACCACAGGATGCTCACTACAATAAAACTGATACAAAAACCTCCCGAAATGACCAAAAATAGTGTGGTTTGAATAAACACAGTATGATACATCCATTCATTTTGAATAAACACAGTATGCTATATCCATTCATTACGCAGTGCTGGTAATGCAGTGGTTAGAACCCAGGAGAAAGATGTGGCAGTCTGTTTCCGTCAAAATTACAACCTAGCAAACACTACAGAGCAGTCCTATAGGGTTGCTACAAGTCAGATTCAACACACAGATTTGAGTTTTGGGTTTTTTTAAAAAAAATTTTTGGTGTTGGGGGGGCTTTATATCCATTCATTAATATTTATTGCTCTCATTAATGAGTCCAGTTTAGAAAATAAAAAGTATGGTACACACACAATGTTTTTAAGTTAAACAAAAAACCTGTTGTGCTGGAGTTACCCGTCACGAATGCTCCCCCTCCATCCAGCATTGCTGCTAGTTGTCATCCAGTGACTCCTGGTAACCCCATGTGTGCTGGGTAGAACTACTCCAGAGGGTTGTCAGGGCTGTGCCCTTCTGGAAGCAGCAGACTGCCAGGCCTGTCTTCTGAGACACCTTTAGTTGGTTTTGCTTTATCGTTTGTGCCACCTGGAGCCCCTTTCTCAGCATTGTTAAGTGCTATCGAGTTGGTTCCAACTCATAGCGACCCATATATAGGGTTTCCAAGGAGTGGCTGGTGAGTTTGAACTGGGGGCCTTGTGGTTTCAACTGACCTTGCAGTCCAGTGCTTATCCTACAGCACCATACCAGGACTCCTCTCCCAGTATTAGGATAAACTATCCCAACATACTTCTTTCACGTCATCCTTAAGCACTGCATTCTCTCAAAGAAGGTAAGACATCAATCAATAATGTTTCATAAAGCAGATTCTTCCACTAAGAAGCTAAAAGTGAAATGGTCATACTCCAACCTCTTACCCACATTGGTAATTTACCTTTTGCAGAGAGTCAACAAGGGTCCTAGAAGCATCTCTGAATTGTTCCGAGTCCTCCCCATAACGTTTCCCAATTTCATCCAAACCTGCCAGTTCCAGTGAATATAAATCAGGAGAATGATCCTTGGCTAGATGCTTATGTCGAGACAACTTTGAAGGAAAAAAAAGCAGTGAATATAGTAAGATGTCAAACATAGTCAGATGAAGCTTTTATGTCTGACTAAACTAGGCTAAGCTGAACCACACCAGTGCACCACAATACATGACCAATGTAAAATGGCAAATTGAACTGCTTTAAATGAAAGTTCAAGATAAAGCAAATCTAATACAAATCTCATTTTTCCAAGCAGTTACAGGGACTCTCTCTCTCTCTATATATGTATATACACACACACACACACACACACACACACACACACACATATATGCATATATATTTTTTTCATTTTCTCCATTTTAAAAACTCAGACATGGGCCAGGCTTATGAAAGGACAGATGGTTGGATCAGTTTGATACTAGGAGTACATGAGTCATTGGTGCTGAGAGTGGATACCTCCCACATATACTCTCAGGCTTCCAGTAGCCTCCCCAACTACTCCCAGAACCCATTGCCGTTGTTGTTAGTTCTAGTCAGTTCCAAATAACGGTGACCCCATATGTGTACAGTGGAACTGCTCCACAGGGTTTTTAAGGCAGTGACCTATTGGAAGCTTGTCTCCCAAGGCACTTGTGGGTGACTCTGAACCACCAACCAACTTTTCAGTAAATTAAGTGCTTAACCATTTGCACCACCCAGGGACTCCCCCAGAACCAATATCCACTGAAAAAATTTAGAAAACAACTTTTGTTGTTATGTGCCGTGGAGTCGGTTCCGACTCATAGTGACCCTGTACAGGGTTTCCAAGGCTGTAAATCTTTATGGGAGCAGAAAGCCTCATCTTTCTCCTACGGAACAGCTGGCAGTTTGGAACTGGTGACCCTGAGGATAGCAGCCCAATTCATACCAGAGCTCCTTTAGAAGATAACAAATAGGTAAGTTTTAAAAATGTGAACCACAAGAATGATTTCAAAATAAAAAACATTCACCAAGAAAATACCCTCCAGACAGATTGATTCCCTTTATTTGATGGCCTGGTACACAGCATTACTAGTCCAAACTATTATTTTTATTTTAGACCCAAAGATTGCGATACAGAAATTTAAGTCTTAACGTCTGACAAGAAGTCAACTGCCAAGGTAGGAATACAGCCAGGGTGTCCTTACTCCCAAGGCTTGTATTCCTAGAAGATACATTCTCCTACAAGTAGAAATGCAAATTGGGATGATAGCAGGAATTCAAAATTTGTCAACAGTAATGCTAATTTGTCAACTGTCATGGGATCATAAATCTTAACGGAGCTTTTTTAGTTGGTTTCACGATCATTCAAGGATTCTCTAGAAATGTCTTTTAGAACCAAAATAAACGGCATGGAAAAATGAGAGCAGCCTACTTACCAAACCTGAAATATCATGCAGCACTTGCAGTTCCGAGAGAAAGAGCAGGTCAACCTTCAGAAAGCCAAAAGATGATGTCAACTATCTATCAGAGACTTATATTTGCAGTTTATCAAGCTTTTTAAAAATATAATTTAAAATTTATATTTTAATTTTAATAATATATAAATTTTAATATATTTAATGAAAATTTGCCGTGTATACTAAATGTTACTAAGTACATTTATAGGACAAGTATCTTCCATTTGGTAGGTTTGTTTCCATCGAAAATGCATATAAAATATTATTTTCTAACAAAAAGGTGAGGTCATTGCTTAGCACTTACTACAATGCAATAGTTAGTTTTGAGAAAACTATGAAAAAGGATTCAAACTTGAAAGTGGTTTTCCCTCGGGTTCTCAAGATACTCTGACACAGTGCAATGAGGTCCTGCCACTGACACAGTTTCCGTACTGCCCAGGAACATTTTCCAGGTTGGAGAGTAAAAGATGGGGAGCCTGGTCATCCCAGTAGATATAAAGGCCAGGCTGCTGCAAAGGTATTGTGGGTAGGAGGGTAAGTGGGCAGATGCTGAAGCAATGGGATAAGATTCACAAGTAGGAGTGGGGCTCCCTGCACTGCGTTGTTGAGAGTGATTAGAAAAACGGGGCAAAACACTAGTAGCAACTGTAATACTGGCTCCCACGTTATCCGAACCCACACAGCTCCACCAGCCCACTAAGCAGGAACTATGAGTTCAGACAACAACAGCTCAGCTCACAAAAAGAGTCAGGGGTTCATAAGAAAATTACACTGACAGAAAGAAGAATACACTCCAATAGCCAATTTGCAGTTTCCTTTTCTAAAATTTCCAGTTTGCTTTAAAGTCAGTAGCATAAGCAATACAAAATCAGTAATGATATCCATTGACTTGCTCAATAACTGTACTACTTACTTCATTGTTCCTACTCAAGGAATTGAGGGGAAGTGAAGTGAGGACAGAGTTTTCTTGAAATAGGCGATTACGGAGCTGTCGTAATGTCACTGAAAGGTCTTCAAAAACTGAGTTTGCCTTCCCCACCATATACACTCTCTGCAAGAAGCATCCACATTTTAAATTAATTCACATTCTACAGATAAATACCACTATACAGAGATCTGACAGCAGTTTTCATTAAGTCAGTTAAAAACTTTCATTAAACAATGTAAATTTCATGTTTAAGTATCTTCAAATAAAAATAGTTCACTTACTTCCTCACTAGGAGCCAGCTGCAAAACTACGGGTGTTTCTTCAGAAAATAAAGAATGAATGGAATTTGCAACGCTATCAAGACTAAAAGGAACCGCCTGAAATTGAAAAGTAAGACCTTATTATCTGAACCAGAGAGGGAAAAGACATCATTCATATGGTAGTTTTAAAATAGCTTTAAAAAAGAGAAAAAGCAACAGCATTTTCTAGGTAAAATCAAAAGACCCAAATGATTTCTAACAACAGAGTCCATTTTTAGGCACAGAGGAGTAAATAGCCCCCGAGTGGGCCAACAAGTTCACATCTCTTTGCAACACTGAGACATAACACTAGCACAAACCACCATTTTCTGGTGGTCTTCCTTGTGTCTTAAGCAATATCTTTGATTTCAATATTGAATAAATATGCTAAACTGAACTCTGGTGTGGCGCTGTAGGATAAGCACTCCACTGCAATGTCGGTTTGAGCAGCAAGGTTGGCGGGTCAAATTCACCAACTGCTCCATGGAAACCCTATACAGGGTTACTATGTGTTGGAACCAACTCAATGGCACTTAACAACAACAACAACAACAAATGCTACACTGAATGTGTAGCCTATAACAAAGTTGTTGTTAAAGTACCATTGAGTGTGTTCCAAACCTATATAGGGTTTCTGAGGAGCATTTGGTGGGTCTAAACCGCTGACCTTGAGGTTAGTAGTCCAGTGCTTATCCTATAACACCACACCAGGACACCATAACAAAGTGGCACTGTAGGACAGGCACTAGACTGCAAGGTCGACAGTTTAAAAACACCAGCTGCTCCTTGGAAAACCCTATACAGGGTGGCTATGAGTTGGAACTGACTCGACGACACTTTACCACCACCACCACCTGCATTTAAGAGATCCAACTAGTGGCGACTGTGGATAGGTAGAAGGGGGAAATGGGGAAGGTATTGTGTAAGAGGTACCGAGTTTCTTTAAAGGTGATGAAAAAAATTGGAAACAATTTGTTAAGTGCCATCAAATTGGTTTCAACTCATAAATGACCTTGGTTTCCGAGGAGCAGCTGGTGGATTTGAACCACCGACCTTGAAGTCCAGTGCTTATCCTAAAGTGCCACACCAGGACTCAAGTCAATTGTGCTAAGACCTTTATTTTCCCTCCAATTTTTCAAATTAAAGAACGACATATATAATATCAAAAACCAAAATCAAACCATTGAGTTGACTGATGGTGGCTTACAGGGTTATGTATTGGGTTGCTAACTGCAAGGTTAGTAGTTCAAACCCACCAGCAGCTCCACAGGAGGAAGATGAGGCTGTCTGCTCCTGTAAGGATTTACAGCCTTAGAAACCCTAGAGAGCAGCTCTATTTTTGTTCCACTGGGTCACTAGGAGTAGGAATGTACATATAATGGTGGTGATGTGCCGTGAGTCGGTTCCGACTCATAGCAACCCTGTACAGGGTTTCCCAGGCTGTAAATCTTTATGGGAGCAGAAAGCTTCATCTTCTCCCGTGGAACAGCTGGTAGTTTCGAACTACTGACCCTGAGGTTCATAGCCCGATTTGTAACCACTACACTACTCCAGTGTACAAATCCGGGGGGTAACTGCTTAATGAATTTTCACAAATGAATACACCTATGTAACTCAACCAGATTAAGACAAAGAACATTATCAGCACCCTAGAGGCCTCCTTATTCCCACCCACACATCCCAGGGTAACCAAAATTCTGCCTTCTATCCCTACACATTAGCTTTACTTACATTAATTTAAAAAATAAGTTAGGGTAATCTTTGCCCTACATAAGAAATTTTATCCTTGATACATTATTGCACTATAACAAGCAATACAGTAGCATTTTTCTTTTAATGGAAATTTCTTAAACAAAGATTTTCTTTCCAGCAACTCCCTTTACTACTTAAAGGTTCATGTTTCTAAGTAGCAAATTAAAGCTACCATGGTTCAGACAGAACTCAATGTGATTATATTAATCCTACTGACGAAACTCAAGCATAAAATTGGGTTTATCAGTTTGATAATGCTGTGAAATTAATTTAATTGTTTTCCTTATTTAAGACACATAAATCTTTCCAAAATTCTCTTCAGTTAATGAGTCACTGACGAGGGGGAGAGAGAATTTGAACTTGCAAAAAGCATACTGTTACCAATTTCCTTTTGCTAGTTACAAGTCCTTTCCTTTTTGCAATCATAAGTTTCACCTCCTTTAGCTCTGGAAGGAATACATGAATATGTAACAAACTCTTCAGCTTCATTTCACCAAGTGAAATGGCATTTGTGTCAAAGGAGTTAAAGAATAAAGGTTGGCTGTTCCTAACAATCAAATTGGAGAAGTGAATGAATCAAATGAAAATGACTCCGCGATCAATTTTCAGCCAAGTATTAGAAAGGTAAGTAGGGGAGCCAACAACACTAGTGAGGTACACACACCACAGAATGGTCAACCAATGGAGATCATCTACCTAAGGACACAATTCAGAAGGGTGGAGTAAAATGGAGGAATGGAAACAAGAGTCAAGAAGGAAGTGACGTTACACTGGGGATTGCAATCAATGAGATAAAATGGAGTGTATAATTTATTGAGTGTAAAATTGGTGATCTGCTCTACAAACCTTTACTCGATTCACAACAAAAAGTTTTTTTACAAAGTGTTTAAGGCAGCTGACAATAAAAGATTATTTTTAATTTGAAAATGAAGAATTTAGGACACAGAGATAGAGATGGTAAGTAAAAACAATGGACAATGTAATAATTTTTAAAGGACCTGGATGTCTTTGTGTATATTCGTCATCTAATAAATATATATCATTTAAAACAAAAATGAGATAACCAGTCAAGTACTAGGCTGCATAGCTTGTTGCCATGACAAGCTATGGGCAACATTATAGAAATGAGTATTTGGGAACACTTATTTGTGCTCATGAGGAACCTGTACATAGACCAAGAGGCAGTTGTTCAAACAGAGCAATGGAACACTGAATGGTTTAAAATTAAGAAAGGTGTGTACTTAGGATTGTATCATTTCACCATACTTACTTAATCTGTATGCTGAGCAAATAATTCCAGAAGCAGATGACACAACCTTGTTTGCTGAAAGCAAAGAGGATACTTACTCATGAAGATTAAAGACCACAACCTTTGGTATGGGTTTCACCCCAATGTAAAGAAAACAAAAATCCTCACTACTAGACTTATAAACAACATCCAAATATATGGAGAAAAGATTAAAGTTGTCAAAGACTTCATTTTGCTTACACCCACCGTCAACACATATGGAAACAACAGTCAAGAAATGAAACAACATATTGCATTACACAAATTTGCTTCACAAGACCTCTCTAAAGTATTCAAGAGCAAAGATGTCAGTTTGAGGACTAAGGTGCGCCTGATCCAAGCCATGGTATTTTCAGTAACCTCATGTGCATGTGAAAGTTGGGACAATGAATAAAAAAGACCCTAGAAGAATTGCTGCATTTGAATTATGGTACTGGAGGAGAGTACTGAAAGTATCATGGACTGCCAGAAGAACAAACAGGTCTTTGTTGGAAGCAGTACAGCCGGAATGCTCCTTAGAATCCAGGATGGCGAGACTTCATCTTTCATACTTTGTACATATTACCAAGAAGAACCACTCCCTGGAGAAGGACATCGTGCTTGGTAAAGTAGAGGGTCAGCGAAATAGAGGAAGACCGCTAATGAGATGGACTGGCACAGTGGCAGCAGCAATGGGCTCAAGTTGTGAGGGTGGCATAGGATTGGGTAGTGTTTTCGTCCTGTTGTGCATAAGGTCGCTATGAGACAGTACTGATTCGTCAGCAACTAACAACAACAAGGCTCAAGGTACCTGGTACTGCTTTTTAGCGTTTTAGCGTTTCTATGGAATAATTTTGACCTTTTCCTTCTTTCTTGTCTTCTTAATGATTTTTTGCTTTCTTCATGTATAATGTTCTTGATGTCATCCCACAAATCTTCTGGTCTTCAGTCTTTAGTGTTTAATGTATCAAATCTGTTCTTCAGATGACCTATAAGTTCAGGTGGGATATATTCAAGGTCATACTTTGGCTCCGGTGGACTTGTTTTCATTTTCTTCAGCTTCAGTTTGAATTTGCATATGAGCAATTAATGATCTGTTCCACAGTCTGCCCCTGGCCTTGTTTTGACTGATGAAATGAATGTCAGAGGAGACACTGAAACTTGCTCTCCTGCATAGAGATGCTAAAGCAAAAGGAAGAAATTATGAGGTACAAGAGCTGAACAGAAAATGTCAAAGATCAGCTTGAGAAGATAAAGCCAAATATTACATTACAACAAAACATGCAAAGATCTGGAGTCAGAAAACCAAAAAGGAAGAACAGGCTCAGCGTTTCTCAAGCTGGAGGAACTGAAGAGAAAATTCAAGCCTCGACTTTTGTTATTGAAACATTCTCTGGGCAAATTACTGAATGATGCAGAAAGCATCAAGAGAAGATGGAAGGAATACACAGTCACTGTACCAAAAGGAAATGGTTCATGTTCAACTGTTTCAAGAGGTAGCATAGGATCAAGAGCCAATGATACTGAAGGGGGAAGCCTAAGGTGCGTTGAAGGAATTGGCAGAGAACAAGGCACCAGGAATAAAATTGAAATCTTTCAAGAAAGTGACGCGGCACAGGAGGCACTCACTCATCTCTGCCAAGAAATTTAGAAGTCAGCTATCTGGCCGACTGATTGGAAGAGATCAATATTTGTGCCCATTCCAAAGAGAGGTGACCCAACGGAATGCGGAAATCATTGGACAATGTCTTTGATACCTTATGCGAGTAGTTTTACTAAAGGTAGTACAGAAATGGCAGCAAGCATACATTCACAAAGAACCTCCAAGAGGTTCAAGCCAGATTCAGAAGAGGCCGTGGAATGAGGGATATCACTGCTGATGTCCAATGGATCTTGGCTGAAAGCAGAGAATATCTTTATTGACTTGAGAGAATGTGCTTTATTGACTACACAAAGGCTTTCGATTGTGTGGATCATGACAAGCTATGGACAACATTGCAAGCTATGAGTATTCTGGAACACTAAATTGTGCTCATGAGGAATCTGTACATGGACCCCAAGAGGCAGTTGTTCGAACAGAACATGGGAACACTGAATAGTTTAAAATTAAGAAAGGTGAGCAACAGGGTTGTATTGTTTCATCAAACTTATTCAACCTGTATGCTGAGCAAATAATACAAGAAGCTGGGTTCTATGAAGAAAAATGTGGCATCAGGATTGGAGGAAGACTCATTAACAACCTGCGATATGCAGATTGCTTGCTGAAAGAGAAGAGGACTTGAAACATTTACTGATGAAGATCAAAGAGCACAGCCTTCGGTATGGATTACATCTCAATTTCAAGGAAACAAAAATGTTCACCACTGGACCAATAAACAACATTCTTATCAACGGAGAAAAGGTTGAAGTTGTCAAGGACTTAATTCTTCTTGGATCAACTATCAACACTCACAGAAGCAGCAGTCAAGAAATCAAATGACATATTGCATTACGCAAATCTGTTGCATAAGACCTTTTTAAAGTGTTGAAGAGCAAAGATGTCAGCTTGGGGACTAAGGTGCGCCTGACCCAAGCCATGGTATTGTCAGTAATAATGTGAAAGCTGGACAGTGAATAAGGGAGACCGTACAAGAATTGATGCTTTTGAGTTATGGTGTTGTAGGAGAATATTGAAAAGTGCCATGGGCTGCTAAAAGAACCAATAGATCCGTTTTGGACGAAGTGCAGCCAGAGTGCTCCTTGGAGGCCAAGATGGCCAAACTTTGTCTCTCATATTTCGGACATATTGTCAGGAGGGACCAGTAGCTGGAATAGGATATCATGTTTGGTAGGGTAGAGGGTCACAGAAAAAAAGAGGAAGACCCCCAACGAGATGGATTGGCCAATTGGCAGCATCGATGGACTCAAGCTTGGCAACAATAGTGAGACTGGCCCATGATCAGGCAGTGTTTTGTTCTGCTGTGCATAGGGTCGCTATGAGTCGGTACCGACTCGATGGCACCTAACAACAACAACATGGAATAAATTTAAACTTAGCTTGCTTCTCAGCTTTCTCAACTAGGTCATAGGTGATAACTTGCCTGGATCTAAATTCCTCCCTCCTTGCCCCTACCATATATAATATATACATACATACTATCTTTCTACACTGGAGACATAGGTGTACATTTCTCCTAAGTACTTGGGTATGTATTTCCTAGGAATAATGACCTCAACTTAAGAAAAAATATTTCAATCTTTTTAGGAGGAAATAATGTAAAACCTACAGAAAGGTTGTATTTCTATTGACATTCCCTTTGGAGTAATGCGTTTTCTCTCGGAAAGCATTTAAGAGTTTCAGTTTCCTTGATGAGTCTCCAGTGTCACTATGTCTAAGTACTGATTTGTCTTTAGCCTACTGGGTGTTCACTTGTCTTTAAATCTGAAGAGTCATGGTGTTTGTGGGGTTTTGTTTTTTGTTTTACCATTCCCAAATACAATTTTAAGGTATCACTTTGTTACCTAACTGCATTATGGTCAGAGAGGGTTGGTCTATATGATACTGATTCTCGATTTATTTGTTGAAATTTACTTTGTGTGGCCTATTACTAATTAGCATGTGGCCATGCTTTCTGAAAGCATGTATATATATATATATATATATATATATATATATACTAAAAGAACTTAGATGCTTAAAAACAAACAAAATTTCTCGATAATTCATGTGTTAAAGAAAGCATAATTATGAAATATTTAGAAATGAATACCAATGAAAGGACCACATAACAAAAATGTCTCAGAACTGTCTCTTGCTTTCTAGTCCTTCCTCTATCACAATTTGAAGGCATGTTTTGAAATCTCTTTGAGATTGGTCTATTATTACCTGTACTTCTAAGGGGATAGAATTCTGTTTGTTGCACTTCCTATCTCTCTCATGATATACATAGTATTTTTTTGTGCCTCCTTCAAGTGCTTTGTAAACTCGACTCATCTTCAATTCTTACCAAAGGCGCCCTGGGCTGTGGAGCTGTCTCTGTGGATGTGTCACTTTTCACAGCTACAACCTGTAGCTCCTATTTCTCTTACGCAACTCCTCTGGTACCACCAGCCAAGAACAGTAAGCCAGCTCTTCTGTGATATCCCTGCGGCAGCTGGGGTTTTACTAGTCCTCCTTTTAAAGAAAACACAGCATTTTATGGCCCCTGGCTTTCTGCAGGGAGCACAATTCCTGCTGCAGCTCCTGACACCACTGTGGCTTTTGAGTTTTCTATTCCTATCCGGCATCTGGGTGTAGGTCAGTCAAGCTTTCAAGTTTAGTTGTGCATGTAAAACTGTTTTTGCGGCATTTTATTTAGCACGTCCATATGATTAAGTGTGGAAGGAGGGCCTCTCACCTCAGCTCAGTCAGCCACACTGACTGAAAGGCCTGTGAAGGAATGAATGAACCAGCAAATTAGCCTCCAGTCTCCTTCTTACCCAAAAAAGAGAGAAAATTCAGAATACACAAGACAGTGCCCAAGAAAATATCAGTAGATTACACCCTCAACTTTTAGTGGTTCTCTTTTTTCAAGCCTCTGACTCTTCTGAAAGCTGGGCAATTTCTCCACCTCTTATTTGCATCAACCTTAGGAAACAGGTAAGTCGGCAATACATTTACAACTACAAAGCACTGTTTTAGAAAGATTTTGGTTGTTTTATATATCAACCAGCGCATTAAAAACCATAGGAGAAGACAAGTATGCTTAGAAGGCAATTCAATAATGACAGATTAGAGAAAATTAAAACTGCATCCCTTTTGATTCCATTTTATAATAAATACTCACATTCTCCAAAGGATATGAAATGACACTACTCGGGGGTAGAGCCAGCTTGTCCACTCCTTTCACCATCACCATCACAGTAGCTCGAGGACGATGGAACAGGTTTCCCACTGCAAGTCCTGGCCAAGAGAGGTCCTAAACATTGAAATGCATCAGAGCTTAATTTTCAACCCTGGAAACCATTTCCCCAGTAACATCTAACAATAAGCAGAGTTAGGTACTCTGGGATAACACTGGTAATGAAAGTTTACAGAGAAAGGAAAAGCTTTATTTTAGATGATCATTGTCATCTCCTACTCTGCCAATTCTGTGTTCTCTTTGACATACAGCCATGAACATTTTCTTCCTCCTCATCGGTTTCTGTCCTCATCTACAGCATCATTTTTATCTTTCACAGTGACATAGCAAGGCTGTCTTTAAACATTCTCTTTAAACTAAGTTTTTTATTTAAAAAAAAACAAAAAAACCCCACAAAATTCTTGCTGAAAATATCTCTCATTGGTTTACTAATAATTATGATGAAAGGTTAATTTAGCAACCATTTGTAGCCAAATTTCAGTTTGTAAAAACTATCCACAAATTTTATCCTTAAATATAAACAACCAATTGTGTTCATGTTGCCCAAAGAGGCAACCAGCTAGTTGCCATGCAGAGCTTCTAGCTACCAGGCCCTCAAGATCTAGGAAGAAAGTTGCTTTGGTGACCAAAGCACAGAAGTGACAAAGTGGGAAGGGAGCGTGACAGGCTGAAAGCAGGCTGCATGGCCTCTCTCTTAGCCATTAGATTCAGAGTTTTCATTTGGACTGGACAGGCACCCCTCCGCTACCATCACCCTAAGCAGCCCGTTGCTACAATAGGTTGGGACTTAAATCTAGGAAACCAAGGTCCTAGGTTGCCTCCACAGTTACCCACCATACTGTTTTCTCAACCTCAGGCAAAATACATACATATTTCTTATTTAATCATGTGTATTGAAAAAAAGTTATGCTATACATCCTATTAATAGGACATACACATTTTCTTTATATACAACGAACATTACTATGATGAAGAAATGATTATAGAATGGTTTATAGTTATTTGGTTTCAGAAGCCAACCTTAATGCACTTATCCAAAACTTCCTGAACTTATAAAAGAGTTTCTATACCAAATGTACCTATGCTTGTTTGTTGCTTTCTTGGGCTATTAGTAGAAATCAACAAAAATGCTCTGAGAAGCAGCTCCAAATATATGTATTTTTTATAAGCAGACATACTTCTTTCACGGAGAAGCCCATTGACAATGCAGCCACATCTGGGATTCGCTCTCCTGGTATAGGCCAGTTTCCTTCTCGGAAAATGACAGACCCTGGTGATCTTAATACACTAAACTCGTTCCCCAAAACACCTGAGAAGAAAGGAGAGTGGTAAGTGAACCATCAGCACCACAAAGCTTTTGCATCCCCTTAAAATGATTAAATATGATATAGTTCCCATTCTCAGTTGACTAAGCATGCTAAATTAGGATTGGATAAAATGTGGCACATTGTAAACAGGACATTTCAAAGCATCACTCTAAGAATTTTACACCAACCAAGGTACAAATATGAAACTGTTGTTGAGTGCCATAAAGTCGGTTCTAACTCCTAGTGACCCTGTATAGGATTTCCAAGGCTATCCATCTTTGCAGGAGCAGAAAGCCTCATCTTTCTCCCACGTAATGGCTGTGGGTTCAAACCACCATGCTTGTGGTTCGCAGGCCAGTGCTTATCCTACAGAGCCCCAGTGCTCCCCAAGTATGGAATAGGATTCTCCTAATGATCTAGATGCCCTTCCTAGAGACAGTCTGTAATTGCAGCATGCAGTAAATTGGCAAGCAGCACAAATCAATGGCATTTCTGCAGAATTAAAAAATAAAATAATTTAGCTCAGACTATGAGATAACTAAATTATTTCTACCATTGACCCACTGTTCAAAAATGCAAATTTCCTTTCCCAGTGATAAACTCATAAAATCCCAATTTCAGTATAAAACTTATAGATGACATTTTAGGATCACTGTAGGATAAGCACTCGACCACAAGGTCAGTTTAAACTGCAAGGTTGACAGTTCAAACTCACCATATGCTCCTCGGAAGCCCTATAAAGGGTTGCTATGAGTCAGAATCGACTCGATGGCACTTCAAAACAACATATTTTAGGATAGACCACATTTTCCCTAGATTCCTCAGGTGGTGGTGGTGGTGGTGGTGGTGTTGTGCCTGGAGTCAGCCTAATGAAATGAGGGTTGTTGGATAGGAGGCACATGTTACCAGTTGGAATATAAAACATTTCAGACTTTAGAAACAAACTTCAGGAAATGTTACAGTGAAATTTATGAGAGCTGAAACTCCACAGGACTGCCTTGGCTTTCTGGGTCTCGTCAGTTTTCTGCCTTCTATACAGCTTCTGGCTTTCACAAGCTTTACTGTATTTCCAGTTGACATTATCAATACGGTGAGAAAAGACATTCTGCAATAACAAGGTCAACAAGTCTAGGGGTATAGGGCCTGGTTATAACACACACACACATACTCTCTCTCTCTCTCTCAATCTCTCTCCCCACCCCCCCACCCCCAGCCCTGGTGGAGGACGTAGTATTTTGCCTCTTCACCCATTACAGGTTCTATCAATGATGTCTAGTTTACACAGAGATAAACAGCTAATGGAAACTTTTGGGTTCCTATGAAACCAGACCCCAAATAAATCTTGGCTGTGCCTAGTATGGGTAAATTAGACTTTAACAAAGCAACCTTGTTACTTTTACCTAAGGAAAGTACCCAATACCACTTACAGGGTATGAGAATACAGTGGAAAGCAACAGTAAATATTTTGGTGTTACAGTATTGACAGTAAACAAAAGGCCCAGGATGTTGATGATACAACATGCAGAGTTAGCAGTTTCAATTCCATGTAGCCACCAGAGCAGGGATTTCCAAATTGTTCTAGCCAAGGGCAGACAAAAAATTTAACAGAATGGAACAGTCATTTGTAACTGATAGACATTTTGGTTCGCTAAAGATGCAGTATTGCAAACCATAAAGAAAATGAAATGAGAATATTTTTCAAGTATCATATACATTTAAAGAGCCACATTTTGTCCTGGACATAACCATTTTCTTGAAACATTGCCCGGCTTGCTCATTCAACCCCAGCAAAGCTATACTAAATTACTTCACCTCAACTTTGGAGTTAGTCTCTGTCCAAAGAAGGAAAGAAGCAAAGAGTGAAGAAAATAAAAAAAAACCATGGAAATAATAATTAGTCCAAAGGACTAACGAACCACAGGAACCATAGCCTCTAGCGCCCTGAGAACAGAAGAACTAGATGGTGCTCAGCTACCAGTGCCAGCCACTCTGAATGGAAGCATAATAGAAGGCCTGGAAAGACAAGAAAAATAGAGAACAAAGCTCAAAATCATAAAAAAATAAAAAAAGACCAGGGCTTTTAGTCAAGCCTGGTACTGAATTCACCTTGTGGCTCAACTGTCAGTCAAATAATGTTGTTAGGTGCCATCGACACGGTACTGATTCATAGCGACCCTATGCACCTATGCACAACAGAACAAGACACTGCCTGGTCCTGGGCCAACCTCACTACTGTTGTCACGCTTGAGCCCACTGATGCTGCGACTTTGCCAATACATCTCGCTGGGGGTCTTCCTCTTTTCCTCTGACCCTCCACCTTACCAAACATGATCTCCTTCTCCAACAACTAGTACCTCCTGTCAATATGTTCCAAGTATGAGAGATGAAGTTTGGCCATCCTGGCCTCCAAGGAGCATTCTAGCTGCACTTCTTCTAACGCAGATCTGTTTGTTCTTTTGGCTGCCCATGGCACTTTCAATATTTTCCAACACCACAATTCTAATACATCAATTCTTCTATGATTTTCCTTATTGACTGTCTGACTTTCCATGCATATGAGGTTATTGAAAATCTCATGGCTTGGGTCAGGTGCACCTTAGTCCTCAAGCTGACATCTCTGCTCTTCAATACTTAAAAAAGTTCTTCTGTAACAGATTTGTCTAATGCCATACGTCATTTGAGTTCTTGACTACTGCTTCCATGAGTGTTGATAGTTGATCCAAGAAAAATGCAGTCCTTGACAACTTCAATCTTTTCTCCATTGATAAGAATGTTGTTTATTGGTCCAGTGGTGAGGATTTTTGTTTTCTTTACATTGAGATGCAATTCATACAGAAGGCTTTAGTCTTTGATCTTTATCAGTATTTTAAGTCCTCCTCACTTTCAGCAAGCAATATCATTTGCATATCGCAGGTTGTTAATGAGTCTTCCTCCAATCCTGATGCCACGTTTTTCTTCAGATTACTTGCTCAGCATACCGGTTGAATAAGTATGGTGAAAGAATATACCCTTGTCGCACACCTTTCTTAATTTTAAACCATTCAGTGTTCCCATGTTCTGTTTGAACAACTGCCTTTTGGTCCATGTACAGATTCCCCATGAGCACAATTAGGTGTTTCAGAATACTCACACTTCACAATGTTGTCCATAGCTTGTCATGATCCATACAATCGAAAGCGTTTGCACAGTAAATAAAGCACAGGTAAACATCTTTTTGGTCTTTTCTGCTTTCAGCAAAGATTCATCTAACGTCAGCAATGATAGCCCTCGTTCCATGTCCTCTTCTGAATCCAGCTTGACCCTCTGGAAGTTCTGTCAATGTATGCTTGCAGCATTTCTCTCTTACCTTTAGTAAAACTTTACTCGCATGGGATATCAAAGATATTATCCCATGATTTCCACATTCCGTTGGGTCACCTCTCTTTGGAATGGGCAGAAATACAGATCTCTTCCAATCCATAGATAGCTGTCTTCCAAATTTCTTGGCATAGATGAGTGAGTGCCTCCAGTGCCACCTCACTTTGTTGGAAAATTTCAATTTGTATTCCATCAACTCCCGGTGTCCTGTTCTTGGCCAATTCCTTCAATGTACCTTGGACTTCTTCCTTCAGTATCATTGGCTCTTGATCATATGCTATCTCTTGAAATGGTTGAACATCGACCATTTCCTTTTGGTACAGTGACTCTGTATTCTTTCTATCTTCTTTTGATGCCTTCTGCATCCTTCAATCATTTGCCCACAGAATCCTTCAATAACGAAAGCCGAGGCTTGGATTTTTTCTTCAATTCCCCCAGCTTGAGAAATGATGAGCATGTTCTTCTCTTTTGGTTTTTTAATTCCAGATCTTTGCACATTTTACTATATTTGACTTTGTCTTCTGCGAGCTGACCTTTGAAATTTTCTGGTCCGCTCTTGTACCTCCTCATTTCTTCCATTTGCTTTAGCATCTCTAGTCAAATAATAAGACAGACCTATAGCACTTAACAACAACAACATAAGGTAAAAGGTGCTGTGGGTTAATTCACCAGACTGCAAAGCATTTGAATTGCAAGGCTGGCGGTTCAATTTCACCAGCTGCTCTTCGGAAACCCTATACAGGGTTGCTATGGGTCGGAACTGACTCGACAGCACATAACAACAACATAAGGTAAATGGGGTCTTGATGTGACGCTGTAGGATAAGCACTGGACTGCTAAGCATGAGGTCAGTGGTTCAAATCCGCCAGCTGCTCCTCAGAACCCCTACACAGGGTCGCTTTGAGTCAGACCTGACTCAATGGCACTAACAACAACATAAGGTGAACAATTTTTCCTTAGAGCAATCAACCATCTGAGAGCAAAAGGGCAGCATCTGCCCAGGGCTAAAGCTCAGAAGGCAGGACAGGGTAGGAAAGAAGGATGGCTGGAACCTGTAAACACAGAGGAAGTGGGACGAGTGCTGTTAACATTGTGGGGATTGCAATTGGTGTTGCATAACAATCTGTACGGATTGTTGAATGGAAAACCAATTTGCTCTGTAAACTTTTACCCAAGGCACCAAAAAAAAAAAAAGGAAAAAGTTTAATAAAAGACATCTTCCATATTTGCACAATGCTTCTTCGCAAGTCTTTCTTTATTGTTGTGAAGTGCCAGATGGGTCTGGTGAAAGGGGGTGGGGGGGTGATGCTGATAGGATTTTATGATTCAACTGTGAGTAATTGTTAGCAGGATTCATTGTGATTGTCAAAACTGAAACTGTAGAAGATGTGTAACTAAAAGGGGGAGATTGTTAATCTTTTATTGCAGAACAGACAATCCCAGGACTATCAAGAAGGAAGAAATGCGTGGAGTGTGAGAACCCTACTTAGAAAAGTGGTGACAGCAGAGACGATGACAGAGGCAGTGGCACCGAGAGACAGAGCAGTTGTGGTCTCTAGGCCCATAGACTGAGTAAGGCTGTGGGCAAGGGGCTAGCTGGCAGAATGTGCCCTTTGGACATTTAAACTGGCAACTCCCTCCTTGAAAGGTAAGAAAAGGCATTCTACAGTAATTCAGTCAACTAAGTCTAGGGGTCAAGTCCTGGTGTGGTGCTGTAGGATAACTATACTGCGCACTACAAGGTCGGCAGTTTAAACCCTCCAGCAGCTCCTCATAAACCCTACATAGGATTGCTATGAGTCGGAACTGGCTCGACAGCACGTAACAACAACAGTAGTCTAGGTGTCCTGGGCCTGGGAATAAGAGAAAACCATTGCCTTGGCTTTTGTGACATCATTGCCCGGGTGTTCTTCCAAATCCCTTTGGCTGCCCCTCCTCAATTTCTTTCCCTTATTATAATGAATACAGCAGGGCCTAAACTTCTTGGATTTGGATGTCATTTTATGCTTACTGCCATACAGCCACTGAACTCCTAACACATTGTCTTTCCCAGAATTGTGGCTTAATATTGCGTGAAAACTTGAACAAGTGAATGAACTTGAAAGCAGCCCCAACAAACATCTATTTCTTTATAAAGTATATTCACGTACTATAACACATTACATATTTGTAATAGTAAAATACACAAAAACAGACTTAAAAAATGTGATGCTGTTGTTGTTAAATGCCTTCAAGTCAGTTCCAACTCAGAGCAACCCTGTATAGGGTTTCCAAGGAGTGGCTGGTGAGTTTGAACCACCAACCATGTGATTCAAATCGACCTTGAGGTCTAGTGCTTATACTACAGTGCCATACCAGGACTTCAAAGAATGCGATATCTTTGTAATAGTCTTCTCCCAAATCCACAACCCTAATCTAATCAAGAGAAAACATCAGTCAACTCCAAACTGACGGACATTCTACCAAACACCTGATCATTACTCTTCAAAATATATAAATGGAAGCTGAAATACCTTCTCGACACTCCATTGGACATCTAACACATTCCGATTTGCAAATCACGGCTCTGACATCTGAGGCTCCATTCTTGATCCTCCACGGCTCTCTCCCTGGGTGAGCTGAGCCCATCTACTCCTAAGGCTGTGAACACCAAACCACAGACTTTCTTTCCAGTCTAGATTTCCCTTGAGCCTTAAATCTATACACCCAACACTCAGCTAGGCATTTCCTTCTAAGTCCCATGGGCCCTAAAAACTCAACAGGTTCAGAGCTGGATTCATCATCTTTCCATTTGCTCCTCCTGTTTTCCGCTCTTGAAGGATGCCATTGATCACTACATTTAATTCATCATGGAATTCTGGCCATCTTTTTTTTTTTGCTTCTCCTATTATCTCCTGACTCTGTTCCCCCACTCCATGGCCAGTGCCAAACCCTCACCAGGTTTGCCTCCTTGTGACTTATCATGCCACCCTCCTGCCCACCCTTCCTATCACCTTTTCCAAGTACAGCTCTGTTCATCCACTCTTCAGCTTCAACTCCTCCCCTTACTGCCCAGAGCCTTCAAGACAAAAATCCAAAAAATAACACCTAACGCACTACACAGCAGCAACCTTACATCAGGGAGCTTCCCAACTTCAACCTTGTTATGTTCCAACCCTGCCAAACGATTTGTTCTTTTATCTACACCACTGTGTTTTCACAGGTTTTGTCCAAAATACGCCCCCACACCCTAACCTTTCACATATATTCCCTGTGAGGCACCTGCCCTGGGGAAAAATCCCTCAGTCTCCTGGGTGTGAGCCTTGTCCTCGGGCCACACCACAGCACTGTGCTGCACTCTTCTATTGATGGCGGATAGAATCAATCAGTAGAAAATCAATGGGCCCTACTTCAGTCCTCTGTGACCAAAATGGCTTCCCTCGTCTACAAAAGAGCTTCTCAAATGTCAGGTGTTCGTCCTTGTCTTTCTTCCCCATTCCTCATGATCTGGTCTTCACAATCCTAGTTTCCCTCCTCTGGTCTTGTTCTAGCTTATTAATAGCTTTTTAAAGGATTCCTGGGGTTCCCCTTCCCCGCCAAATAGAGAAGTCAATGCTCTCAGACATCTTTTCCACTAAATCACTAGCCATTGTGGAAAACAATAATAATTTAACCTCATCTGACAAGACCAAGCAATGCAGAAGCTGATAGGATCAGATTCTTGGTCTGTATGAACTGGACTATTCTAGTAAGGTAAGCACATTCAAACCATATATGGTGACAATTATTCTGCCTTAGTCCAAAATGAAAACAAAAAGCTCTAAACCTCACTGAATCGAAACAATATCAATCGTAAAATTAAAACAACAGAAGTTCAGTTACACCACAGGATCAAAGTGAAGATTTTTAAACTTCAAAAACGTTATTGGAAAACTTCAAAAATGTCCCCAATGTGTCTATCTGGAGTCCTGGTGTGGCGCTGTGGGTGTTAATGCGCCAGACCGCAAAGCCATTTGAACTGCAAAGTCGATGGTTCAAGCTCACCAGCTGCTCCTTCGGAAACCCTATACAGGATCCCTATGGGTCGGAATCGACTTGACAGTGTTTAACAACAACAGCAACATATCTATCTACCTGACTGGAGAGATACGAATGAATGATCTCTCTCCAGAGCCCCAAACAGGAACGAAAACAAAAAAAAGAACACTAAAACTTTTGGTCTATGGGAATAGTGTCATTATCATTAACACACCTAGGGGGACTGGGCTCTATAGATTTCCAGAGCATCAGCAGTCTGTAGGCCATGCAGAATGGCGCGAACCTTCCCAAAGTGGGAGCTCCCAGCAGCACCTAGTGCGCCTGACCCCTAGGTTTAAACTCAAACACTGGGGAACACAGCTCTCATTCCTCCAGATCATTCTCATTTGGGCCTCCTGCTCACCACTGTTCGCCCACCAGTTTTAGCCCCACACCACTCCCACATTCTCATACAGTGGTAACACACCCTACCCCACAAAACCGATCATGGAAAAGGTCTGCACTTCGGAGCCAGCTTTGTTCCTCACCATCTGTGTGACGTTGGATGCTCCTTTTAAGCTTTATCACTCCAAAGGGAGAATGAGACAATGATAATATAATAATAAATACACAGGAAGCCAGATATTGGTTGTCTTCCACTCCCATTGCTGAATAATAGGGAACTGAGATCTCCCACTTCGCAAGCTGCCATTTAGTTGACATGTGACCCTAACTAAGGACATGACTCACTTCTGTCCCTAAAATCGGGAATTGAGACAAACTGAGAGGCTTGGAGAAATAACCACTCAAAAACAATGATTGGACCTCAACTTCTGTGGCCTGAAGCATAAATGGGGAGGGGGGTTGCAGAGAGCTTTGTCAATTATTGATGCCAACCATTAGAAAAGAAGACACCCCCACCTCCCCCGAGGCATGCAAAGAAACGCAGCAGCTGATAGCAGCTAAGAAGTAGCCCTTCCAGTCTTTGCTGAGGGCCTCGACTGAATTGTTAATTAAGAATTGCACACCCGTCCTCCAAAGTGCCTCCAAAGCAGGAAGAGGAGACCGGGTTGGCCGGAGGCCGGGGGCTCCACAGGCGGAGGCGGAGGGTGGAGACCGGGTCAGGGTCCCCACGCAGCCTCGCCCAGCTCCCGGCCCCCGGCCCCCGGCCCCCGGCCCCCTGCCACTGCGCGCCCTCACAGGTCAGGTCGGAGAGGAGGCCGTGGGGTGGGCGCCCGAGGCAAGGACGCCGCCAGCTGCCCGCACTGCGGCACCTGCCCCCCGGCTGCCCATTCGGTGCCGGGAACCTGGAATCCCACGGCGCTGAGCCTCCCGGAACGCGCCCTGCCCGCCCCCGGGTGCTCACCCGCCACCAGCAAGGACAGGAACACAAGCACAGCCATGGCTCCGCGGCGGCCACAGCAATGCCGAGTAAGACAGAGCGGCCGGCGGGAAGGGAGCGGCTACCGGAGCGTGAGAGAGTGACGCTCCCGTCCCGACCACCAGCGCCTGCTCTGTCGTCGCCTCCGCAGCTGTCTCCTCCACCAATCGCCAGCTACGCCGCTGCTTACGGCAGAGACGGAGCCTGAGAAACGTCGGGCGGGTGGGCGGTGCCTCGTGTGACTGATGGAAGGGCTCGCCAATGGTAGGCAGCGATTGAGGAGCCGGGTAGCTCCTCCCTCTAGCCCAAGACAGCAGGTCACGAGATAAAGGGATGGGCTAGCTGGAGCAGGAGGGATCCGGAGAGCCTTTAGGGAGGCCTTGTTTTCTCAGTGCGGACTTTTGGGTCCATTTCCAGTGACAGTCTCCATCCGGCGTGTCTGTTACTCCCGGCTGCATGCCTCCTCCCGCTAGGGGAAGCTGCGGGGCTGGTTTGGGGTTCACTCTAACAATTGCACAGATTCTGCGCACCTGTTCAGAGGGAGGCGGGCACCTGGGGAATCCCTGCCCTCCAAGTACGGGTACCAAATAAAATAAAATACAGGAAGCCCAGTTAAATTTAAATTTCAAATAAACAAGGAATAATTTTAGAGTACGTTGCAAATGGTTCATGGAACCTACTTATACTAATATATATATGTTGTTGTTGTTGTTAAGTGCCATCGAGTCGGGTCCGACTCATAGCGACCCTGTACAGGGTTTACAAGGCTGTAAATCTTTACAGAAGTAGAAAGCCTCCTCTTTCTCCCGTGGAACAGCTGGTAGTTTCGGACTGCTAACCCTGAGGATAGCAGCCTGATTCGTAACCACTACGCTACCAGAGCTAAAATATATATATATATATATTTGTTGTTTGTCTGAAATTAAAATAGAACTGGGCCATCTTTTATTTTTGTTTGCTGAATCTGACAACCCTACCTCCAAAAACCTACCCATCTACCAAAAGTGTGGTGGTGTTAAATGTCTGTTCCGACTCATAGTGACTCTGCTTAGGATTTTCCAGGAGCACCTGATGGGTTTGGACCGCCGACCTTGTGGCTCAAACCGACATTGTGCTTATCCTCCAGCGTCATACCAGGACTCCAAAAGCGTGAAAAACATTAAGTTTCAAACCTGAGCAAGTTGTTTTATGAGAATATATGAGGGTTGTTACGTGCTATTGACTTGGTTCTGCCTCATAGCAACCCTGTATAGAGTTTCGGAAGAGCTGCTGGTGGGTTTGAACCCCTGAACTTGCAATTAGCAATTCTGCTGATCTGACAGCGCCACACCAGGAATCCATGTGTGGGTTGTTGTTGTTAAGTGCCGTTGAGTCGGTTCAAACCCTGGTATAGGGTCCCTGAGGAGGGGCTGGTGAGCTTCCACTGCCAACCTTGCAGATCAAACCAACCTTTCAGTCCAGCGCATTAACTCACAATGCCACACCAGGAGTCCATGTGGGGGGTTAGACATACAGATTAGAGAGCAGTCTTAGTTCAACAGTAGAATTCTCCCTGAAGGAGACCAAGGTGTACCTCCCACCTCAAGTACAGCCACAGTCAGTCTGTCAGTGGAGGCTTGTATGTTGCTGTAATGCTGAACAGATCTCATCATTGGTGAGCTTCCAAACTAAGATTTGGAGGAAAGATCTGGTGATCTACTTCAGAAGACCGGTCCATGAAAACCCTACGTTTCATCATGGTCTGATTCTGTCATGCATAGGGTCGTCCGGCATTGACTCAAAGGTAGCTGATATACTAATTAGACATTAGACAACAGCAGATATACTAATTAGAGCAGGATCCTCCTTTTCCACAATTAAGTCTTTTGCCTGTGAGGCAAGAAGTACTTTTCTGTGGTCAGAAAAGTATACCCTAACTGGTTAACTTTGAAAGATAGACATGGTTTCAACATGCAAAACTAGAAGATAGGGAGGTTCTATAAGTGGAGATGTTTAAGACATAGCAGGAAGATAGCCTTGCCATGTAAAGTATTAAATATTTAGTCTGACCAAAGAATAAGCTATATAAAGGGAGTCTGGTGTGGCACTGTGGCTTAATGTGCTGGACTACAAGGACAGTGTGAACCGCAAGGTCAGAGGTTCAAGCTTACCAACCTCTCCTCAGGACCCCTATATAGGGTTTCTATGGGTCAGAACCGACTCAATGGCACTTGACAACAAAAATAGACCTACAACTTGCACATAGTGACATATTGAGGCACTAAAAATTTGCACAAAAGATCTACACTTCATTTGGTAGGAAATGGGGAGCCATTGAAGGTGTTTGAGCATTATTCAGTGTACACATGTAAGACAGACTCATTAAAATTTTTTTTTAAATTCCCTTAAAAAAAAGCCCTACGGTTTCCCTAGTTCCCAATCTCCATTTTTTCCCCTGAGATTAAGAGAGAGAGAGACAGAGACAGAGACAGACAGAGAGAAAGGAGAGTTGATTGAAAGGCGTGACCCTAGGAGTTCCCCCAGATAGCAGACCCACGTTAAGAAAACTTGCCCAATTGAGAACTGGAATCAGAAGAACATTCAGATATGAGCTTTCTAGGATACACTATGTTCACCAACCTACCCACAATCATCGAGTTGATTCTAACTCATAGCAATCAGTCTAGGGTTATCAAGGCTGCAAATCTTTACAGGAGCAGAAAGCTCCAGTCTCTCACAGAGCAGCTGGTGGCTTTGAACTGTCAACCTTGAGGTTAGCAGTCCAGAGCTTATCTTATAGCACCACCAGGGTTCAAACTCCTCTCAGTTTGAAATCTGGATTTCCTCATTCAACTCTATGAATTCTTAGGACTCCCAAATTTGCATTCTTCTAGAGAAGAAATTGCACAAACGTGCCTTTAGAGCAATCTGAAAGGGGAAGGGTTATTTTTCCACTGTTGTTGTTGTTGGTTACCATCAGTAAAACTGATCCATAATGTTTTCAAGGCTGTGGAAAGTGTAAGAAGCAGAGTGCCAGGCCTCTCTTCGGAGGTACCTCTGGGCTATAAAATTATTGGGGTTAGTTGTAGAGTTGGCTCCTATTATAACAGAATAAGCGGATGCCTGGTCCTGCTGATGACTGTTGACATAATCAAGTCCATTGTTGCAGCCACTGTGTATGTTGAGTGCCTTCTACCCTAGAGATCTCATCTTCTAGGACTATATTGGACAACATTCTGTTGTGATGCACAAGGTTTTTAATTGGTTAATTTTTAGAAGTGCATCACCAGGCTTTTCTTCCTGGTCTGTTTTAGTCTGGAAGCTTTAATGAAACCTGTCTACCATGGGTGACCCTGCTTAAATTTGAATCACTGGTAGCATAGCTTCCAGCATCATAGCAATAGAGCAGCCATCATAGTAGGACAAACTGACAGATTACAGTACCAAAATGTCTAAAGCAGCTCATTTCCAAAGCACGACTAATTTGAAGAAAAGAAATCAATAAGAATGTAACGTTGTTGTTGTTAAGTGCCGTCAAGTCAATTCCAACCCATAACAACCCTGTATAGGGTTTCCAAGCTGAGACTGAACGACCGACCTTACAGTTCAAACTGACTTTGCAGTCCAGTGCATTGCAACTCACAGGACTCCATCAGGACTCCAAGAATGTAATATTAAAAAAAAAAAAAAAATCATGTGAAGAGGAACAACTTACAGATGATTGGAATTCCAGAACAGGAAGAGACAACAAAAATCACAGAGAATACTATCAAAAACTTGTTGAAAGAAACTTCCCTAACATCAGGAAAGATGAGAAGATAAGCATACAAGAAGCTGACCGAAACCCTACCAGGATAAATGCAAAAGAAAATCACCAAGACATATCATAATCAAACTTTCCAAAATCAAAGACAAGGAAAGACTCCTGAGAGCAGCTCTGGCAAAAAGAAAAGTTACCTACAAAAGAGAACCAATCGACTAAGCTCTGACTTCTCAACAGAAACCATGCACGCAAGAAGGCAATGAGATGACATATCCAAAACTCTGAAAGGAAAAAATTGCCAACCAAGAATCATATACTCAGCAAAGTTGTCCCTCAAATACAACAGCAAAATTCCTGATACACAGAAATTAAAAATGGAATTTGTAATAAGCAGACCAACTTTCTCCAAAATGCTAAATGGTGTTCTTTGGACTGAGAACCAACGACAGCAGCCAACAACCTGGAATTACCATACATGACAACATCACTCATAATTCAGTCCAGATATTATTGTTGTTGTTGTTAAGTGCCGTCAAGTCGGTTCTGACCCATAGTGACCCTCTAGAGGGTTTCCAAGGAGTGACTGGTGAGCTTGAACCACCAACCTTGCAGTTCTAACCGACTTTGCAGTCTAACACATTAACCCACAGCGCCACACCAGGACACCCAATCCAGATAGGTTGTTGTTAAGTGCTGTTGAGTCGATTCCGACCCATAGGGTTTCCAAGGAGCGTCTGGTGAGCTTGAACTGCCGCCTTGCAGTTCAAATGGCTCTGCAGTCTGGTACATTAACCCACAGTGCCACAATCCAGATATAGAAGTATTTAAAGCAAAACAAACCTACAAGATTGAAAATAGGGAACCAGAGATATCAATTTATAATGAAGTCAACGACAAAACAAAAAGAGGGAATAGTGTAGCTACAGAACTTTCAAATGACAAGAAAGTCAAGTAGATTTCAGGATAAAACAAACTGTTTTGAACAGGGAGTCACATTAAGAAAATGCAAGGTAACCTCAAAGAAAATTCACATACCCACACATCAAAATAAAAAAGAGAAAAATTGAAAGCTTTAGTAAACAGAAATGAAAATTAAAAGAACACCCATTAAAAAAAAATGAACTCAGTGCAGAAAGTGATGAAGTGATGTGGACTAAAGAAACCAGCAGCACCACAAAAGCACACACAGCAAAATGACAGCCATCAATTCAGACCTATCGATAATTACACAGAATGCAAATGGATTACATGCACTAGTTAAGAAACAGAGCAGAATGGAG